TTACAGCCCGTGTCTATCCTGTGTCACGCCCACCTCCCACTTCCCAATTCTACTTTCCAGAGCTTTTTTTTTTTTTTCTTATTAACAAGCCTGTTCTGAGCCAACTTATAAACACCACAATATTGTCCCCAAGCACACTGTGGTGAGGTATGTGTGGAATGGGACTTAAACATCCACCACTAATTCCTGTTCACTGTCTTTACACCACCCTCCTCTCTCCAGCAACTCACATAGGTCAAGTGAAAGTGCCATTGTCCAAACCAACTAAGAGAAAAGGAAGTATCCTACCGGATACCAATGGTCATGTCCAGCCAGATTTCCCACCGAATCTGTTGTGCAGAAACCTTGGTCTCTAGTCATACATAAGTAGCTATGGACTATTTTACCTCACTCTGGTATTCTGCTTCTTAACCTTTCTCTGTCTTCTTGCTCCGTGGGGACTTCCTGTGTGTTGCTATCATTTTTTATCCACAGAGAAAAACAGTATATCCTTGAAGGCCCATCAGCTTTTCCAAAGTGCTGATAACCACAGGCGCCAAGGGGACACCAAACAAACACTGTTTTCCTCCTTTGGATTTTGGGTAACAATCGTGTACTTTAAAAAAGTAATATGCCGAGCAGTGGTGGTACACACATTTAACCCCAGCATTTAGGAGTCAGAGGCAGGCGGATCTCTGTAAGTTCAAGGCCAGTCTGGTCTACAAAGTGAGTTCCAAGGACTGTAACAGCCAGGGCTGTTACACAGAGAAATCTTGTCTCAAAAAAAAAAAAAAAACAGCAAAAATGTTAATGTATACTAATTATACAAAGATGTTTAATAATGACATCCCCATGCATTGATATAACACACTTTCATCACACACACCCCACATCCTCCCTGTTCTCATTCGCCCTTCCCCCTCTACGTCCCCAATAGCCTCCCTTCTACTTTCTTTCCCTTTTTCTCCCTTTAGATCCTACTTATCACATATGCTTTACATGACTGAATCTTCTTAAATGATCTCACGCAAAAGAGAGCCAAGACAGGAGATGCTGACAGGCCTTTCAAATCACTTTTGGGTAAGAAAAGCTTCCAGTTGCTAATAAATTTCACACTCTTAGCTCCTCCTCAACAAGACTTTGACTCCCCTTGAAGGATGGGCTTTGGAAAGCCATGTCGCTCTTGGCTCATCCAGCTCCTGTTTCCCCACAGGGAGAATAGTCTGTGCTCATTTGCAGTTCCCAAAGGACTCGGGTCCTAAAATAGATTCCTGAAATTATTATCATCAAAACATCTATTTTGCATATCAACTATTCTGTATTCAGTCTGTGGGGAGCTTTACAGTGCCGCATCTACCAAAGACATCGTCCCACCACCTGGAAGACACATACACAGCACAACTTAATGTCCCGACAAGAGCCGGTGCTTTGTGACATGGATTACACACTACTATGAAATATCATACCGGCTTTAAAATGTTTGGAAGGAAAACAGTAGCCAATACAGCCGTAGCACTAGGCTGTCACACTTTTGTAATGTCAGGCCATTACTTGCATCAAATAGCTACAACATAGATGTACCTTGGGTGTAACAGGAGGGAGAGGGCTGTTTGTTCGTCCCAGCCACCCAGAACCGAAATAATCACACAGAAACTATATTAATTAAAACACTGCTCGGGCCATTAGGTCTAACTTCTTGTTGACTAACTCTTACAACTTAGTTTAACCCATTTCTATTAATCTGTGTATCACCACGTGGCAGTGGCTTTCCGGCTAAGTTTCAGCAGCATGTCTGACTCTGGTGGCAGATCCATGGCTTCTCTCTGACTCCACCCTTCTTTCTTCCAGCATTCAGTCCAGTCACCCCGCCTACCTAAGTTCTGCCCTATCAACAGAGAGATAGAAGCACAAGGATAAGTAATTCAAGGCCATTCAGGGCTACACCGTGAGTTTGAGGCTAGACTGGGCCACATGAGATGCTGTCTAAAAAAAACAGATGCACTTTGGGTTATAAATATCTATGTTTATGATAGGTTCAATGAGTTCTAAATGCTAGAATTTAGATTGGAAGGGAACAGAGTTGGAAGAGAAAATACTCTCCGTCTGCTTCTTGGCCGAACCTCAGCCATTCATTTCATGTCTTCCTGTTTCACCTAGGGGTCCTTAGTTACAAACAACCAAAAGGAATTCTGGTTGACAAAGGGGCAAAAGGAAGGCACTTGTGATGCATGTGGCAATTTGTGGAATAGTTGAGACATCTATGGAAGAGGCTTGGGTCATGGGCAAGACCTAAGTTGAGCTACCAGAATGAAAAAACTCTCAAAAATGCCATCTTCAAACTTCTTGGCAGGTGCCTGTGTTTGGCTAAGCCCAGATTGCAAGCCATGCATAGCTTCCGGGAGATCTGGGGAAGCAGGTGTCTGGCATTTACCCACTTCTGTGATGGTATATGGCTCTGCTTCTCATATGGTTTAAATGTGGGAACCCCCCAAAGATGGGAAAGGGTTCACCAGTTGGGCAGCTAAAAATCATCTGTCTCCTACATTTCCTAACTGGGCTAAACCCAGTTTCAGGCACCCTAAATTTCCTCTCTCCTTTGACTTTTTGCCACACTTTCTTTGGCAGTCCTCAGATCTGGGCAAGCATAATCATGGGTCTCAGGTGTTTAAAAAACGCTGAGGAAATACACACAATTAAGTTTTTGGTCCTGTGAATCCCATTAATAAAATGATTCTAAGCCCATCTGTAATTCCCATTGTATCATATAGAAATTTAATTCTGTGCATGTGTTCATAAAATTTTAATGCAGATGTTTGCCTAGGATCCAATGTTTTTTAAAAAATAATTATTTATATTTGTCTGCATGTGTGTCTGGACACCACATGTGTGCAGTGCTGACGAAGGCCAGAAGAGGCATCAGATTCCCTGGGACTGAAGTCCTGGATAACTGTGAGCTGCATGTGGGTGCTGGGAATTGGACCTGCACCCTCTGGAAAAGCTACCAGTGCTCCTAACCACCATGCCATCCAGTCCCACGATCCATGTTTTAGTGTCCCCCATTTCCCATAGCTCCTTTATAAACCACTTCAAGTTTTCCCTGCAATCCCAGAAGTCTCAACTACTTCCTTCTGCAGGGAAAACCAGGCCAGCAAAGGTAAAGCTCCCCAACTTCTCTGTAGAAATTCTAACTCAAAATTTCTTCCTGTCTTTCCCCGTTTTCTCCCTCACTCCCTGCCGCAGTCTTTCTTCTTTCCAAGGAGGAACTGGAGAGGGATGCAAACAAAACTACCCTCTGGCGCAACCTGAGACCACCCTGCCCAACGTGGATTTTCCTCTGTGCTAACATCTGTCACTTCGAATAGCCCCTTTGACCCCCACGTATTCAAATCTTTCTTGATCTAGAAATCCTTCTTTCCATTGACTCCCTTCCTCTGCGCTCTGAACTTCCTAAGAGCTGGAAAATGGAACTCTACTCAGAGTGTTTCCCACCTCTCATGTCTCTTCGCCCCCTCCTGAGCAATTCCTGACTTGCCCTCTGTGCATAACTGCTCCCCAGCGTCAGCCATAGCTCCTCACTCCTCACGCCTGCAGCTCCTCCTCAGCCTACTTTCTCCTGACCCTCACGGGAGCACGTGACCCTGACGCAATTTCCTGTCCTCGGGTTGTGACTTTTGGTGTAAACCTCCCAATTCTTCCTTCTGCTCTCCAGATCTTCTACTTCATCTGTGTCCTTCTCTGACTTTCCCCCAGTTTGAGTTCCCACCCTGGCTCTCTCAGCTCGTTAGCTGTGACTAGCACGGCCATTGCACTGGACACTGGGGCCCAACCCTAATTATTTGGCTTTAAAGTTCAGGTCTTTACAAATGAAGGCTTCCAAAGAGTCGCCTAGGCCCTTTTCCTTCTTCATCTCCCCTTCCGTCCCCCTTTTTTTGTGAGAATTAATTGGCGTTAATTATACTCCGTATATAATCTGACGTCTTAACCATTTTTTTAAATACACATTTTGGTGACTTTTAAGTACATTCACCTTCTTTGGCTCCTTCATTCCTCCCCCTCATTCCCACGCATCCAACCCGGGACTAACTCAGTACAGGCTAGGCGAGCACTCAACAACTGAGCTATATCCCTAGCCGCCATCGTCAATCAATCCATTTTGGTTATCTTTTCAAATACATAGCTAAATAGAACAGGGCCATTTCTTCTTAGCAAGCTTATTACTGGGGCCTGTGCTTCGGGCTGTCATCACATCCCTGCCATCAGAGTAGTGTTCCGGGCCTGAGCGGCTGCTCTTAGGCATCCCTTGTATTGCGGGTGCACCCATGACCGCGTGACTTTTATGTGGGCGCTGGGAATACGAACTCAGGCCTTCAGCCTTAAGTGCTTTACCCACTGAGCCATCTCCTCAGGCTTCCACCACATTCACAGGACGTCTCTGTGAGATCATTTGCAGTCCTTTACCTTTTTTTCAGATAGAGAAACTGAGGCTCGGAGTGACTTAGTTGTCCAGGAAGGCACCCAGGGCTTCAAACTCTGAGTTGTCTACAGTTGGTGTGTCACTAGAAGGGTGGCCTATCTGGTGATAAACCCTGCCCTTGAGGGCCCTGCCCTCTGAAGCTCAGGGACCAGACAGCATTTATCTGTTGGAAGTGTCCCCACGTGGAGACCAAGCATCTGGAGCCAGTTAGAAGGCGCTGGGGATACTGGGTGGCCGCAGTCGGCATGTAAGGACACGTGCTGGGGTCCTGCATTCTGCCAAAGGCCCCTTCTGCTGGCATCTCTGCTCAGAGGAGAGGCGCCGCCTGGTCTTGTCTAGACCCCGAGCGCAACGCGCTTGGCCACCGAGGCGCACCAGTTGTGCGCCCCCCACCCAGCCCCCCAGCTCGCTTATCACCCGCACTTCAGGTGCCCCCACTCGCGAGCGACAGCGGCGGCCACGAGTCCCCCACACCCCAGGGGCGGAGCGAGGCGCGGAGACGTCAGGGCGGGGACCTAGCGCGGCAGAGCGCGCTCTCCCGGAGGCTGCAGGCGGCCCACGTCCCCGCCAGGCGCGGCCGGTGGTGGCGGTGGCGGTAGAGACCTGGATCTTGCAGTTCGCGGCGGCGCTGGGGCGCAGCCAGGCGGCGGCGCCGGCAGAGACCGAGGCTGAGCTCTGAGCTAGCCGTGCACCCAGCTTTGCCCGCCCCCCACGAGCGGACCCCACACACCCTTCGGCTGTCCCTGGGGTCGTTGAGCCCCCCACGAGTGCCCTTCTATCTCCTTGAGTGACTACAGCGTGTGTTTTTTTTTTTCCCTTCTTCCCCTGCCCGTGTGCCCTTCTCCAGGATGGCAGAGGCGGAATTGCACAAGGAGAGGCTGCAAGCCATAGCAGTAAGTCCACTTTTCATTTCATTTTCTTGCTCTATTGTCTGGCGTGGACGGGGACCAGTGGGCTCAGGGCCAGCAACATGCCAGCCTGGTAGCCGCAGGCCCTGTACTGGGGTGAAAGTCTGTCCAGGCTTGACGACGCTGTCTTTTGGCTTTATATGTCTGTAGACTAAGCCCCTGGGGCGCACTTGGGACCAGGAAGATTTGAACATGGAAAATTGGCTTAGAAATAAGATGCTTGCTGCCGCGCTTCAGGGATAGACTAAACAGAGCGGGGGAGTGCATGTGTGGGTTGCGGGGGACTCCTGGAATATTATCACCCAGTGCCCAGAAGTACGTTGGCTTCCAACTCCGGAGAAGGGAGAGAATGGTGACCCCATGGTGGCTATCTTCCTTTGCCTTGCCTTGCCAGCTACCCAGCCAGTCAGCTGCGTGGTACAACCTCTCTCAGAAACCAAGAGTGCCTGCCGCCTTTCCTTCCCCCCATTTGACATTAGCAAGGGCTCTGGCACAGGCCACCACCCTAGAGAGGGCAGGGGCTTTTTGCAGCTGGATCTTGGGGGTAATGTTTCAGGAGAGTCTCCTTCTCATGGGTGTGGAATGATCTGAAACCCATGGGTTAGGCATACAAAGGAGCATCCGGTTTTGGCAAAGTTCGGCACTTTCAAAGCACCGAACCATGTGCATCTCGGCTTCAGACAAGAGCTGTCTGACGCTGCCGAGATTGGAGAGGCCTTGCCAGTTCTGCCAGTGTTCCCCAGATGTGGTTTTCACTGGAGCCACCACAGCTGGGTTATATATTTCCTTTGCAGAGGAGGGAACAGTTACTGGCGCTATGTGAAATAATAGCGAATTAAAGGAGGCCTGCTAGAATGTTGGCGTAAAAGACTCTCCAGACATTCTGCACCTAAGCGCTTTTCCCCCTGTGCTCCAGGAGTTCCCTAGAAACACATAAATTTGTTGGAGAAATACTGTGTAATGTTTTGGAAGCAATGTCTATATGAAAGTGTTTTCAAATGCCTTTGGATGGAGTCTTCTGGAAAATGCATGCAGGCCTGATGTAGGCTCAGTAGCTCGGAGACCCCACCCCCTTTCTCAAACTCTTCTGATCTGAAAGACTGTGCCCAGAAGGAGAAAGCTGTGCGTGGGGCAGTGGGCAGTGGCAAAATACCAGGATTGGCTTCTGAGGCTCTCTTTGAAGTTGGTCCTTGGATTTAGGGAGGCTGTGGGTTCATTTCTTCCCCCATCCACACAGTGCACGTACATTTGGGTGGTTAATGAAGTTGATCAGAGTCTAACGTCGGTGTCACGGCAATGTGGCAGTCCGTCTTGAATTTGCTACAAGTGGTGCCACGGAGCTGGCGGGTGTTTTGTGTAACTGGATAATGGGCTCCTTCAACTGCTGAAAAGTGTCTGCCCCAGAGAACCCTGGGCCACTCCCCATGGGCTGCTGTTTGCAACAGCTGTCACGTTTTCTTGCCTCTGTGTGACCAGTGTCCCTGGATGCCTGGGGGACAGCTGACTCCATGAAAGGACTTGCTTTCTGAGCGCGGTGCCAAGGGTAGCTAACACGAGGGCCACTCCTTCCAAGTAGGCTGGAGTAATCTCAGCCATGGCCAAGGCGATCTTCAAGAAAGATCTAGGGAGTACCCTCAGGGTTCTCTTAATCATATAAGAAGATAAATACCCACCCGCCTGTTCAGTTGTGGAGCAGAGGAATCTTTGAGGGGTTTTGAGAATAGAGGAGAGTCAGTATCAGCAAAAATCTAGTTGGGATTAAGTGTTATCTCTGTGTGTGTGTGTGTGTGTGTGTGTGTGTGTGAGAGAGAGAGAGAGAGAGAGAGAGAGAGAGAGAGAGAGAGAGAGAGAAGAGACAGAACAGTGAGGTGGACTTTATGGCTACAATCAGTAGATAATTTTTTGTCTCATTTGGGCTTAGTATGCACTTTCCAGATTCAGCAGACCTTGCCTCTCTAGACCACTTTCCCAGAATTCTCAGGGGGGCACTGAGATGCTTACAGCCCTTCCCCAAAACCTATCATGCCTGAAATCCCTCTGAGATAACAGAGAAGAGAACGATTCTTCCTGTCTTCACTTATTTGGGTTCCTGTGTCTTGATCAGTCTTGAGTCTGAACCTCAAATTTTTTTCCTCTATAAACTGGGCCCAGGAGTTTATCTCTTGGGCTGTGTTTGAAGATGTGTGTGTGTGTGTGTGTGTGTGTGTGTGTGTGTGTGTGTGTGTGTGTGGCGTTGTGACCCATGAATGATGTTCAGGCTGAGTCCTCAGCTCCTGTGCAGTGCTGGGGAGGGGTCAACTCTGAGGGAGGTCAGGTTCTAGCCAGCACCACTTCTTCCGCAGCAGAGATTGGGACCTGAAGGCCCACTCATCTGCTCATTCCGCAGGTTTCTGTGGAGTATCTCTCTTAGGTATCACCAATGCTGACAACCACCATCAGGAAGGTCTTGTTCTTGCATGCTTGAGTTAAAAGGGGGGTGTGCTCCTCCCTGCGTAGCCCTGGTTGGCCCAGAACACACGACGTAGACCAGACTGACCTTGAATTCACAGGCATCCACCTGTCAGAGCCTCCTCAGCGCTGGGATTAAAGGTGTGTGCCTCCACTCCCAGCCTCAAGCTTAATATTTGAAAGGTCAGGTGTCCGGTGGCCCAGGATGTCTGTTGCATGGTCGTCTGTGGGAATCACCCAGTGTGCTCCAGCGCCGCAGCTGAATCTGCTAAGTCAGCCCAGAGACCAATCAATGAGAAAAAAGAAGCCTCTCATGTCCTTTCCAAAGAAGAGCAACTCTATCTTTGGCAAGTGTCTCTCCTCCTTCCTGGTCCTTTCCTCTCCAGAGATACTACCACAACTATACCTTCAGAACCAACAAAATACTTCCGGCCACAGAGTGAGGAGAAATAGTACAATGGTTGCCATTTTTGAAATGTCAGTAAGGCCTTGGGTTAGGTGCTGGCCTTGATTAAGCACAGAGTTACTCATAGTCAAGAACTGGGGGAGCATGTGAACAGTGACTGTGGATTACAAGTAGGACAGAGCCCACGATCTCGAGTGTAGGGCATGGAAACAGCCTCAAGGCATGTGGAGACCCCCTTCCCACTCCCGGGCCCCACGAGCTGTCACTTGAACAAGCTTGGAGTTTGGATAAAATAACATAGAAAGCAGCATTATAGCCTTTCCTATGACCGTGGGCATTTACTTATTTTTGTGTGCTTATTATTTCTTTGGAACAATTAGTATGGGGAAGGGAAAGGCAAAAGCTATAAATTAAGTCAGTAGTTGGAAGTAAGAACATAACGAAAGGCTGGCACGCGTGTGTGCATGCGTGTGTGTGTGTGTGTGTGTGTGTTCGTGTATGTATGTACATATATGTGTTATCTGTGTGCTAGTGTATGTGCAGATACAATAGCCTTTGCCACTGTGTTAAAGGTCAGAGGTAGATGTTTGTTATCTTCCTCTTCTTTTCTGTTTGTCTTTCTGAGACAGAGTTTCTCACTGGACCTAGAGCTCTCCAATTTTGCTGGACTGGCCAGCCAGCCCCCAAGATCTGCCTGTCTGTGGTCCCCAGCACTGAAGTGTAGACATGTGTCTGCATGCTACGCTTCTCCCATGGATGCTGGGAATCTGAACTCCCCATGCACAGCCAGTACCTTACCCCCTGAGCCATCTTCCCAGCTGCCCTGAACTGCCGTGGAAGGTGGCTGCAGTACCTCACCCTTGCTCACGGGGTCACTGTGCAGGTGGTCTACAGCCTCAGTGTGAGCCCCCGAAACAGCAGCAGAATGCATAGGATTGGAAAAACTTGAGTAAACCAGACCTATATCCTTCTGAGACTCTTCCAAGCTGGGTCCAGAGCATGGAAAATCCCAGTATAAACTCTAACCCAGTGAGTAACATTCTCTCGGGGGAAGCTGCTCCGTCTCAATGGAAACTGACTTTGGGGGAGGGTGTTGTTGTGTTTCCATATCCAAGGGGGAGATAGCCTTCCTTGGGCAGGAGTCAAAATGACTAACTGTTAGAGAGGCTGTCTTGGGTCCCATGGAAAGGGCTCTCGACATGACTGTATCACGTGTGCTGAAATACAAAATGCTAATCTCACCTACACCTCTCTTTGTGGAGGTTTGTCGTGCGTTAGGAACTCACTCTGTGGGATGATAAAAGTCTCCCTTTGCACTTGCACGGAACCTCACAACTCCCACAGACGGTCGCCATGCTGCATGCATTCTGACGTGTGGAATCCCACTGTCTCCATTGCACAGCTGAGCATCCAGACCCATGCAGTGAGATGCGGAAGAGTTTGGGGGAAGCTCTGTTCTCTTCTGATGCATATCCATCCTGGATCCTCCTGGGCTGGGAGGAGGGCAGTGAGCTTGGAGGTACATGGGCTTGGATATGCCTTTATAGAATCAGGACCCTCTGAGATCTTGCTTAATCTCTGTCTCTCTTTCTCTCTCTCCTTTCCCATTCTATCCCTTCATTCCTCTCTCTTGGTCCCTCTTTTCTTTGAATCTCTGTCTTCTCTGACTCCTTTCCTCCCTCCCTCCCCTCCTCCTCATCTCTCTGATTTTCTGTGTACCGTTTCTTTCTCTGTATCTTTCTCTAAATTGTCTCTCTCTCCTTCCACCCTTTCCTCCCACCATCTCACCACCACCTTTTCTTCCTTTCTGTCTCCCCCCAGGTTCGGTCAGCATGTTGATGGCTTCCACTTGCCCCCATTCTCTGTCCTGAGTAGGCCTAGAGAAAATATTTTTTCCTTAGATTTGTCCTTTTACAGCCCTTTCCTTTGAGTGACAAGTTCCTGGGGTTTAAGTTCAAGGGGGGGCTACCAGTCTATGATTGACTCATGCCACTGTGGTTGGCCTGCTTAAGCTGCATAGAAGTCCTGGCTATGACTTATGTATGATTCACCCCTACATGCCAAGTCAGGGGTGCAGAGGTGTTGGAGATCCAAATAGAAACCTTTTAGTAACTGGTTCTTGTGGGAACCA